AAAAAACAAAGAGGAAAAGCCACTAAATCCTCGAACGCTGATACTTCTGAGTGTGCTAGCTGACTAGAGTGGGGGAAGCAAAAATAAAGAAAACTGCAAAAAAAGACCAAATGGGCAAAACAACAACGAGGAGGAAAACAACAAACTAAACAAAATGGAAAAAAGCAAAAACCAAATAGACCCAGAAACAAACAACCAAGAAAAAGCACAAGCAACACCAATGAGCGCAAAGGCTGGTTAGATGGGTCCTAGTTACACAGATCACAAAAGAGTGCTCTCTGGGTAAGGCGGACAAAAATCTAGGCCCCCGTAGCAGCTATATATACTTTTTGGGGGTTCACCTCACATAATGGCGCCTTGTGAGAGCAGAGCAAGAAATGGACCAGTCACAGCCCAGCCAGGGACTGTGTAATATGACTTTCATAACAGTGGTGACTTATGAAGTCAGAGCAAGAAATTGACCAATGGGAGCTGTAGTTCATCCACAGTGGTTTTTCTCGATAATCTTCCAATAAAATTAAAACGATACCCAAAGAGTTTTTGGCCTAGGTGGTGATAGGGCTTGATACTTAATTTTGAGAAACTCCAACCTATAGATTGCTTGGGTGGCCTTCTCATTACTAGTTTAAATATGATACGTTGCATCTTTTGAAGACCTCCTAGTGTCTCCACTTAGTATAGCCCCTCCTTTGTCTTTACTCTCTGAGTGATGGGTCTCAGAATGATGGAACAACATCTCTGGCCTCGGTAAACTCAACAAGTGTTCTGCTGCCCAAGACACCGCCAGGTACACTGTTCGCACCTCCAGAGCTGAGAGGAAGGTGGCTCTGTCACCCTTTCCCCCTAAGTCATCGTCAGATTTCTTGGCAGAAACCCTGGAAGCCCAGAAGGTAGTGGGGTCTGTGCAGTCCAAACATGGAAGGCCCAATCAGAGGCAGCCGAGAAAGCTACATCCTCTGAGACTGTCCTCCACCCGGTAGGGAGGAATCGAGGCACTGCCAGGCACTTGGGGTTTTTGGGCTCCTGTAACAACAACCACCAAAACTCCTGGCTCCTGGCTTCAGCCTGGCCAAGGCCTGGAGGTCATTTATGGGCTGTATCAGAGGATGGAGGAGCTCCCTAGCTCCCTCTCCCTAGCTCCCTCCCTCCCTCTCTCTCTCTCTCTCTCTCACTAGCACTCTCTCTTTCCCCTCTTCACTCTCACACACATAGAATGCAACTTAGGAAAAAAGGAGAAACTCCCTGCTTCAACTCCTCAGGTCCTGCACTGCCCAGAACTAGGACGGGACGATGGCCGCATCACAGCCTCACATCTGTCTCCTTGGGACAGCTTCGTGCTGAGCCCTCAGGAGCAGTGTTTTCCCAAGGAAGCGACAAACTCATCTGTCGCTCCCCGTCTTCATGGGGGAACGACACTAAACCCTGCCTAGGCTTCATATCCGAGTCACGGCACCATTATGTCGCTCCCCGTCTTCGTGGAGGAACGACACAGGACCCTGCGCTGTTCTTTCGTCTGCTCGGCCTCCCTCCCGGGTTTGCTGCTGGTTCTTCCCGGGGTGGCTACCGTCCCTTCCACCTCCGTGGAAGGGCGGTTCCCCCTGCCACATTCCCCACTTCCGCGGGGGAGCGGCACACCGCCGGCCTCTCGGGGGCTGCACAGGTGTTCCCCTTAGATGTTCCCCTTAGATGTTCCTGGTGCATGTCTCTCTCCTCCTTTATAGTCCTCTTCCACCAATCCCAACTCTGCTACCCACACGCCGAGTACGCTGCTCTCCTCCAATCAGGAGCAAGTCCTACAGTTTATTGGCTGAACTGGAGGCAGCTGTGTAGAAGCTGTTTTCTTCTCTCCCAGCGCCATATTGTGGGAGAGCAGATGCATAGAATAAGTCTTAATTCCAGTAACTTAGTCTAGTCCGAGTTGCTCCCCACACTCATCTCAGGTAGGAAGTGAGCCCGGTAACCCTTGCCCCCACATAGCAAGTGGATCTGTGTCTCCTGCAGTTCTTGAGGAGCCCCCAGGGCCCAGCACAGCCATGGGCCCCAGGAACACATGATGGTCCCTCTGCACCGACTGCCCACACCCTCTTGGGAGAGGAACCCCTCCCTGGGGAGATGACCCCCTCCTCCATGTCCAGGGACACTGCACAATGCGATTTCTCCATGATTTCCTGCAGTGCTGGTCACCTCCTCAGGGCTGAGAGGAAAGAACCAGCACCCCAGGAATTCTCACTACAGTTTTGCTACAAAAGTCAAAAAAATTAAATTATGAAGACGTTGGGGACTGTTTTCCATTAAGCACAGGTAAAAACTCATCTTTGTAATAAGGTTGGAGTTTTTGAAGGCAGATCAAATAAAGATGAAACTCAGGATACTACCAAAACATCACCAGATATAGAATTCAAAATTTATTTAGGTGCAAAAACTTTTGAAAACCTGTGCATAGTTTGTCCTTAACATACTTTGCCCGTGAATGTTTTGTATCCCCTCTCCTATGCGTGAATTTCAAAAACTGCAACAAATAAGCTCATCCTTTATTTCCATTTTCCATGAGGTTTTCCAAGTCCCTTCAAGTAACCCAGTTCGAGGAAAAACAGAGTTCCCATCCGGACTGCAAAACAGCGTCGGCAAGGACGAGAGACACACCACAGCTCTCCTTCTCATCACTCCTCCCCAGTGCTGGTGGGAGCCTTGCAGACCCATGTGGTTTTAGAAAATTCATCTCCCCCAAGGTAAGTGATGGCCCTGAGGACTCTGTGTCCCCCAGCTCTGCTCAGCAGTAGCCTGAACATGCTGTGGAAAGTCCTATCTTGTCCACGCTGGACTAAAATGAGGAGGCGGAATCTCTGTGGGCACTGCCCCAAGAATTCAATTCAGTGTAAATCCCAAAGGAAACTGCTAAGAAAATGTCTTATTAGACTGTTTTTATTTTTAAAACTATTTATTTGAAAGGTGGAGTTACAGATACAGGGAGACAATAAACACACACGGGTGGAGACAGAGAGAGAGAGGAAAGAGGGGGAGAGAGAACTTTCATTCACTGGTTCACCTGCCCTGCCCCCCCCCCCAAATGGCTACCATGGCTTAGACTAGGCCAGTCTGAAGACAGGCACCCAAACTCCATCCAGGTCTCCCCTCAGTTGGCAATGCCCCAAGTAGTTGGCCATCTTCCTCTGCCTTCCCAGGCACGTTAGCGGGGAGCTGGATCAGAATCAGAGCAGCCGGGACTCAAACCAGCCTCCTGATATGGGTTGCCAGTGTCACAGGTGGCAGCTTTACCTGCTATGCCACAGCACTGGCGCCTAAATTCTGAAGAGCCAAGGCGCCTCCATTTTAAAAAGTAGCCTCCATTTTCTGGAGCAGGCCCAAGTTCCCGTAAATGCAAACATTCAACAGTTACCAAAACCAAATAAGGAAATGCCCTGGGCCTGAGCCAATCAGGATCAGACTCGTCCAACCAAGAGCTACCAGGAATGGCACCGTTCAATCCACTGTAGCCCCGTACCCCAAACCCTTGCTGATGTAACACTGCAGCTTTGTCTTTAAAAACGCTCCCGAACAAAGCTCAGGGCCTTCCTCTGACCTCCACTGCGTCGGTTGGTTAGATGAGGTCCCTGCCGCAGCTTATACTTCCAGAGTAAACCTTGCTTTTGCATTTCGGTGAGATCAAGTCTCTGGTGATTTTTGGGGATTCAGCGATCTGGGCATAACAGTTTCTTCTAAGATTTATTTATTTGAGAGATCCGTGGACAGAGAGGGATTGATCTTCCATCCTCTGGTTCACTTCGTACATGGCCGCAACAGCTAGGGAGGGTCAGTTTAAAGCCAGGAGCCTACGGGGCTGGCACTGTGGTAATGGGTTCAGCCAGCGGTGCAGTACTGGCATCCCATATGGGTGCTGGCTTGAGTCTCAGCTGCTCCACTTCCAATCCAGCTCCCTGCTAATGTGCCTGGGAAAGCTGCGAAAGATGACCCAGATGCTTAGGCTGCTTCTCCCACAGTGTAGACCCAGAAAGCTCCTGGTTCCTGCTTCCACCTGGCACTTCCCTTGCCATTGTGGCTATTTGAGAAGTGAACCAGCAGATGTAAGACCTCTCTCTTTGTATCTCTGTCTCTCTCTCTCTCCCTCTCCCCTTCTACTCTGTGTGTCTGTGTGTGTGTGTGTGCATGTCTTGTCTGTTTGTCTGTCTGTATTCCTCCCTCTCTCTCTGTAACTCTACCTTTCAAAAAAATAAATCTTTTTTGCCAGCGCCGCGGCTCACTAGGCTAATCCTCTGCCTTCGGCGCTGGCACACCAGGTTCTAGTCCCGGTAGGGGCGCCAGATTCTGTCCCAGTTGCCCCACTTCCAGGCCAGCTCTCTGCTGTGGCCAGGGAGTGCAGTGGAGGATGGCCCAAATCCTTGGGCCCTGCACCCTGGGAGACCAGGATAAGTACCTAGCTCCTGCCATCTGATCAACGCAGGGTGCCAGCCGCAGCACGACGGCCACGGCGGCCATTGGAGGGTGAACCAATGGCAAAGGAAGACCTTTCTCTCTGTCTCTCTCACTGTCCACTCTGCCTGTCAAAAAATAAAATAAAATAATCAAAAATAAACCTTTTTAAAAAGCCTAGAACTCCACCCAGGTCTACCACAGGGGTTGCAGGTGCCCAGGTACTTGGATCATATGCCGCTGGTTTCTCAGGTGTGTTAGTATGGAGCTGGCTTGGAGCCAGGGCTTGAACAGGCACTTCAAGTATGGGATGCTGGCATCATAAGCAGTGTCTTAGCCCGCTGTGCCATACACCAGTCCCCAGAACCAAGCTTTCTTTCTCCCTCCAAATCTGATATCAGTGAAGTAAAGGAGTTTTGCTTGTCCTCAGAGAGGTGTCACAGACTTTTGTCAAACTTGGTTCACTGGGTGTGGTGATAAATAATCTGCACGTGTGTTGATGTGTTTTATCAAGCTGATGAGAGCCCTTGTACTCAGCTAAAGGCTGCTGGGGACCATGTGCTAATGGGTGGACATGCAGAACCAGTGACAGCCAGGTTACTCATCAACAGAGAAAGTGTCTACACAATGCCTCTTTAGTGGGGCAACGAGACCCAAAACATCACCCTCACCCGTGGCCAGGAAGGGCAGGGGACACAGGCACAGCCCCCTGGGTGGCCACCCCTGGTCACAGTGCCTGAGCTGGATGAGCTCATAATGCAGGTAGCGTCCATGCCAGGGCTCTGCCGGGCCGGAGACAGAGGTACCAGGAAGAGTTCTCCATCCGGAGGGCTTCCAGTGGGGGCTGTGAATGCCAGGATGGTGGGAGCCCTCTCTCCTGGGAAGGGAGCCTGTGTCTGAGTTGGAGTCCAAGGGACAGAGATGTGAGAGAAGGGGCTGGGGGCGGGCAGAGAGAGAGAAGGAATGAATGAATGGGGCTGGTCCTGTCCTGGAGATCTGGACCCCAGTTCTAATGCAGGTTGACCATGGCACCCTCAGATCCCGTGAGATCCTCAGTGTCTGGATCTTTTGCAGCCCACAAGTAATTAAGTTGTCTTTCTTTTGTTCTCATTCTCTCTGTTGTCTTACTGTTCCTTACACTGGCTGATTGAGAGCATTCTGGGTAATGTAAGTTAGCTGTTGTGTGTGCACTCTGTGAGCTGACATAAAATGTGCCTCTGGAACTGACCTAAAGCTGCCTCTGCAGACTGCTCCCTGGACCCCCTGGCCTGTGGGCAGGCTGCCCCACCCCTCAGACACCTGGGGCTGCCTCTAACCTTGGGCTGTGTGGGTTCTGTTCCCAGCCCTTGGGACGCAGCCCCGCATGCTCATGTGCCATCATGTGTCCCCGCAGCACGCACCTGCACGCCTGGAACTATTTACCTGCTTCTCCGCTAGGACTGTGTGAGTGCATGGGGACACGGGGGTTCCCCAAAAGTCTGTGCATGGTGGAGTTAAGCTTGGGTGGATCACTCTCCAAGTATCTGCAATAGCCAGGGCAGGCCCAGGCTCAGGAGCTCAGAACTCCATCCAAATCTCCCATGTGGGTTCTGGGACACGGTCACTTGAGCCATTACCTGCTGCCTCCCAAGCTGCACATTCCAGGAAGCTAGAATCAGGAGCAGAGCTACAATGTGAATCCCAACACCCAGATGTGGGTTCAGGGTATCCTAAGTGGCTTCTTAACCACCACACCAGATGCTTACCCCCTCAAGTGATTTTAATCAGTAAAGAAAATGGAATCACGGAGGCCAGCACTGTGGTGTAGCAGGTAAATTTGCCGTCTGCAGCCCCGGCATCCTATATGGATTCTGGTTCAAGTCCCAGCTGTTCTACTTCCAATCCAATTCCCTGCTAATGAGCCTGAAGACAGACCAAGTGCTTGGGCCCTGCACCCTCATGGGAGACCCAGAAAAAGCTCCTGATTCTTGGCTTCAGGACAGCCCAGCTCTGCCCATTGCAGCCATCTGGGGAGTAAACCCACAGATGGAAGGTCTCTCTCTCTCTCTCTCTATGTCTGTCTCTCTCTCTTTCTCCCCCCCCAACTCTGCCTTTCAAATAAATAAATAAACATTTTAAAAATAAGTAAATTCTAAAAGAGAGACACTCAGGCATAGAGTGCAGGTTTCTGTGAAAACATGAATGGGAGTAAAATTATAAAATCTTAATCAGAAAAACATTGGGAGAAGCAGAAAGAGCATGTATGTTCTGCTTTAAAGCCTGTTACAGTCCTAAAGTCATGCATTGTTTTGCAGATGCAAATATCGCGGTTTTCCAGTCCTGAAACATCGATACGGTCTGATAGAGTCAGAGGCACGGCGCTTGGCGGGTAGCGAGGAAGACTTTGGTGACATAAGCAGAACGTGGTCCACGCCTCCGTCTCCGAGGGGAAAGGCAGGCGCAGCATCAGACACGGGTGGCAGTGAGTCCCAGCGGGACAGACAGTCTTGGGTGGAAATAAAGAGTTACTAGATACTGTAACACGCTGTGTTGAACTTCTCTCTCTTGCTATTGTACTATCTCTGTACCTAGGCATTGGACTTTATACTTTTTTCCGAAAAACGCAGCCAGCTCTAGCTGAGAGCCGTGTCCCTGTATCTGTGCCCTAGTTTGCCAGTCAGCACCCATCGAAACACCAGACTCAGGCACACAAACTGTGTCCCTGCACTTTATTATTTTGAAACAACTCTAGAGCAGACAACAGTGTCCAGCTAATACAGGTGAGAGGAAAGTCAGCTGCCTTAGGCTCCCTTATGCATGGCTGTGTTAAAAACAGCATCGGCATTTAATGGAAGGGAATGGCTGTGGCCTAAGGTGTAGGCCAGAGACTTAATTACGGGAGACATAGGCTCTCCATGACTGACTTCCTGTCTCTCCTTGGAGCTCCTGTCTCACTGAAAGCTCTGCGCTTTGCTTATCCCGTTCCCTAAACGCATGAGGCTCATTTCTACCTCTCAGAAGTTAAACACAGCACTTCCTTTCCTTTTCTGGGTCATGTCTAGGTAGCCTGCAAAACTCAGCCAGCACTCACAACCTGTGGGAGGCCTCCCATGAACCAGCATTTTCCCTCCACTGCAAGGTCACACACAGTGCTGCCCAAGTCACGCAGAGTGCTGCCAGGTCAACGCAGTGCTGCCCAGGTCATGAGAGTGCCCTGGGAGGAGGGGATCTGCAAAGCTCATCCTAGGACAACAGAAAAGTGGGGGCAGGAGGCTGGCCACGGAGAAGAGCAGACAGGGGAAGCCACAGCCAGGGCAGGATCCAGCTCATGGGGAACTCCCCAGGGGGAATGCCAAGTCATAGTCTACGGAAGCCATGGCCAATCTTTCCATCCCAAGGCGGTGCCTGTGATGCACCAGTAGATAGGAGCTCTCTCTGCCTCTCAAATAATTAAGAAAAAAAATGAAAGAACCTTAGGAAACCTCCCCAGCCACACTTCAGCCACATTGCACTCCTGCAGCCACTTTCCAGGATAAATGAATAGGGCTCCCGAGGCTGGTGAATGGGAGGGAGACCCTGGGCCTGACACAGCCCTCACCGGTGAAGATGCCGCTAGAACCTTCCACCCTCCATCCACCTGCTCTGCCCCAGCAACTGAGGAGAGCATAGCAGGTTTCTCTTCAGATTATGGTGCCATGAAAGGAAACAGCAGCTGGGGTTATGGATGGAAACAGAGAAAGAACATTTCAGGGCCTGTGGCGTTCACTGCCGTCTGTGGCAGCACCAACAAGTGCAAACAGTGAAGCCCACGGCGGAGAGGTTCGTCGCACTGCGGGTTGCACAGATTATTATTCACGGGCACCACACTGCGGAGGGGAAGGAACAGCAGAGAAGGTGACCCAGGTGAGGAAAGGCCTGGAATCAGAAGATCCAGCTCAGCCCCTTCCAGTGCACGTGACCTCAGGCAAGTTAACGGATCTCTGAGCCTTCACGTTTCTCATCTAATACAGAACAGAAAAACTAGAACTATTCAGACAGAACTGCCCTGATCTTTCCACCCTGGCTACCTCAGATCCACCCACATCTAATCTGCATTTTCCATCTCTCCCTTGTGCAACAAGGAGCATCTTACGGACTACCAGTTTCTGCTTAGCCACGGGGCGAGCCTGGCACCCTCTCCAGAGTGCAGCCTTCGTTTTTTTTCCTAAAACCGTCACTTTCTCTCTCTGCTGGGTCATTGTCAGTAACACTATGCTCCAGTATCGCCCCACTTAAAAGCCTCCACCATGTGCAAGACAAACCTCGGAGTCTGACGCCTTTCTCCAGTTACCGTCCACTGGTCTGGTTCTGGCACGGCAGAGAAGAGCTCTCTCCTTCTTCCCAAGGACTCTGGCCTCCGTCCTCCCTCCTGCGCGTGCCCAGTGATGTGAGTGGCCACTGCTTCCCTCTGTCCCCAGCCTTCCCCACCTCTCAGTGCTTGCCTCTCTCAGCTCCAGGTGCGCCACCCCCATCGACTTGCAAACAGCTTTCAAATCCTCTCCACCTGTATCTCCAGCCACCAGCCCAGTTCAAGCTGTCATCATGCACTAGGCTGTCCTTACCTGGTCTCCACGCTTTGACTCTTTGCAGAGCAGCCAGGAGGTGTCTTCAAAAAGGGAAACTCAGGGAAAGCTGTTCCTTGACTCAAAATCCTTCAATGGGAGCCGAGGTTGTAGCACGGTGGGTTAAGCCACTGCCTGCAATGCTAGCATCCTATAGCTGCTCCACTTCTGATGCAGCTCCCTGTTAGTGGCTTGGCAAAGCAGCGGACGATGGCCCAAGTGTTTGGGTCCCTGAAACCTATGTGGAAGACCCAGATGAAGCTCCCAGCTGCTGGTTTTGGCTTGGCTCAAGCCTGACCATTGCGGCCATCTGGAGAGGGATCTAGAGGGTGGATGATCTCTCTAGGGTTCTTTCAAATAAGTAATTTTTTTTTAAAGAGATAGGGATCAAAGCCATTTGAACTACAACTTAGAACTGCCAGCCCCAAGCAATGCATTTGTCGGGAATTCACTGCCCTGGGGAGAGCGGAAGGAGCCACGCTCCACAGCACCAGGCTGAGTCCAGTCTCTGGGGCCAGACTGCTAAGCTCAGATTCATCTGGGCCCAGGTGAGGATCGAAGTAATTGTGTGCTTTGATTTCCTCATCTAGAAACTGGGGATAAGGGCAGCACGTGGCCCCAAAGTGTGTAAATATAAACTATTAACCCATATAAATGTGTCTGGCAAGGGGTGGGCATTTGGTGAAAAAGTAGTTTAGGGTGCTGCTCGGAACACCCACATCCCACTTGGGTTCGGGTCCCAGCTCTGCTTCCTGCTATTTTGCACCCTGGGAGGCTGCAGGAGGTGGTTCAAGTATTTGGGAACTGCCAGCTGCATGGGAGACCCAGGTAAAGTTCCAGGCTCCAGGCTGCAGTCTGGCTGTGCAGGCATTGGGGGGTGAATTGGTGGACAGATGATCTCATCTGTCTCATTCAAATAAAAATTAAAATAAATTTAAAAATCTTAAAAACATGTCTGGCATGTGACAACTTTATACATGTTAGTTATTATCCCAAGTAATCTAAAATAGAGAATGGGAGAAATATTTTGTTGAAAATGAATTTTTTAAATAATTATTTTATTTATTTGAAAGACAAAGTTAGAGAGAGAGGTAGGTCCAGAGAGAGAGTTCTTCCATCTGCTGGCTCACTCCGCAAATGACCTCAACAGCCAGAGCTGAGCTGATCTGAAGCCAGGAGCCAGGAGCCAGGAGCTTCTTCCGGGTCTCCCATGTGGGTGCAGGGGCCCAAGGACTTGGGCCATCTTCCACTGCTTTCCCAGGCCATAGCAGAGAGCTGGATCACAAAGAGGAGCAGCCAGGACTTGAACTGGTGAACGCATGGCATGCCGGCACTGTAGGCCGGGGCCTTAACTCACTGCGCCACAGCGCCGGCCCCTAAATTGCTTTTCTGAGATGAGATAAACGAGGGTGTGTCCCAGCTGGGCCTGGGGTGGGCACAGGCTGAGCTCTGGGGGCAGTAGGGGGGTCACTGCTGGACCTGCCTTCCCTACCTGGGACTCCCAGCCCAGACTCCACCAGGAGACCAGCTCTCCTGGGTGTTGGGGACAGAAGCTTAATTCCCAGGGAACTGGGTAGAAGAGGGCGCTGCTTCACAGTCAGGCATACAGACATCTTGTAGTCAGTTCTATCTGTTTTCTGCTCTGGTTGGAGAACAGGTTTGAGACAGTCACTGACTGGCGTTTGAGGTGCGGGTGGACAGTGCTGGTGAGAGCAGCACTGACCCCAGACAGTGTACCAGCAGAGTTCAGAATCATGAGGTTAGCTTTGTGTAGCAGGGTAAGCGGCCACTTGCCATGCCAGCATCTCATCTGAGAATGGATTTGAGTCCCAGCTGCTCAGCTTCTGATCCAGTTCCCTGCTCTAACGCACCTGGGAAGGCAGCAGCAGATGGCTTGAGTGCTTGGGCCACTGCCACCTATATGGGAAACCTGGATGCAGTTCCTGGTTCCTGGCCCAGTCCAGGCTGGTGCAGCCATTTGGTAAGTGAACCAGCAGATAGAAGGTCTCTCTGTATTTATGTATATCACACTGCCTTTCAAATAAATACATTTTAAAAAATTAAAAGCAGTTTTTAGGGATTCAAATCCAAGACTATGAAAGAACTTCCATAGCTCAAGAACAAAAAACCCCAAAGAACCCAATTTTTACAATGGGCAAAAGATTTGGATAGGCCTTTCTCCAAAGAAATACAAGTGGCCAACAAGCACATGAGAAGATGCTCAACATCACTTGTCGCTCCCCCACTCGCAGAGGAACGACACCAGACCCTGCGCTGTTCTTTTTGCCCGGCCCTTCCTGGGTTTGCTGCCAGCCCCCCACTCGCAGAGGAACGACGCCGTCCTGGGTTAGCTGCCGCCCCCACCCCCCGCCTCGGCGGAGGAGCGGCACCCCCGCCACTTTCCCCACTTCCGCGGAGGAGCAGCAGACCACCGGCCGGCTCTCTCAGGGGCTTCGCAGATGTTCCTCAGATGTTCCCCGTGCACATTGTCTCTCTCCTCCTTTATAGTCCTCTTCCACCAATCCATGCTTTGCTGCCCACACGCCGAGCACGCTGCTCTCCTCCAATCAGGGGCAGGATCAGCTCCTGCAGCTTGTTGGTCGAATCAGTGAGGCAGCTGCATAGAAGTTGTTTGCTGTCTCTCAGCGCCATATTGTGGGAGAGGAGATGCATACAATTAGTCTTAGCAGTTCTAGTAACTTAGTCTCGGTTGCTCCCCACAATCACTAATTATGAGAAAGTGGAAAGAAAGCAAAACCACAATGAGATAGTCCCTCACATTGGGTGGCTATTACCAATACACCACCACCTAAAAACACCCCAGAGAGCAAGAAGTGCTAGTGTGGACGTGGAGAGGTGGGAAGCCTCGCACACTGCTGGTGGAAATGTAAAATGGCATAGTCACTATGGAAAACTGTATGGCAGTTCCTCAACAAAATTACACCTAGGATTCCCACGTGAGACAGCAACTCCGCTTCTAGGTCTATGCAGAAAAGAAAGCAAGGACTCAGAGACGTGCACAGTGTGCACACGCAACATTATTCACAGTAGCCGGAAGGCAGGAACAACTCAGGAGTCTCCCAGGGAGGGAATGGCTAAACAACGTGTGGCTATAAACACAGTGCAATATCACTTGGTGTTAGGAAGGAAGGAAATCCTGGCACGTGCTACGACACGGATGAACCTTGAGGAGACTGTGCTAACTGAAATAAGCCAGTCACAAAACGACAGATAAGGTCCCACTTATGCGAGGTACCTAGAGCAGTCAAATTCAGGGCTCCAGAAAGCAGGCGGTGGTCGCCAGGGGCCGAGGCAAGGGGAGAATGCGGAGTTGCTGGTTAGGAGCACAGACTTTCTGTTTTGCAAGACGAAGAGAGTTTTGTGAATGCAGGGCACTGATGATAGTACAGAAAGTAAATGCACTTAATTCTACCGAGCTGTCCTCTTAAAAACGTGGCTAGGATGGTAACTGCACGCGTGTCCTTTCACCATAAACTCCCCGAACCCCAGCTCATTATCAGCCTCCTTGCAAGAGGAGTTTTGTTTAACATTTCAAGTATTTGTTCAAAGAGTTTACTTAATGGAGATCTTCTCCTTTCTAATGGTGCTAAGGGAGGCAAGAGAAAGTTACGCCTGCTCTCAACACCTCACACTTCCATCAGAGCAAGAGAGGAAGGGGAGCGTGAAAAAGGGCTTCCTAACAAGAGAGGCACAGGGACTGAGAGCCTTACTGTGGCTTCAGCACTAGTCCCTGGGGAATCTGGAGGAGGGACTTTGGGAGGTGACCTGTCATGGGGGCTCCGCCTTCTCAGCCTGGTTAACCCACTCATGGGCTAATGGATCAATGGGTTGTCCAGGGAGGGAGGTGGTAGAAAAGCCAGGCTGGCCATCTGTCTCCATGTGACACTCTGCTCCGCCCCAGGACCCCGAGGAGCTCCCACCAGTGAGAAGACCCCTCCCAGACGCCAGCAATGGGCTCCTGGACTTCCCAGGCTCCGGAACCCTGAGCTACATAAACCTCTTGTCTTCACAAATCACCCAGCCGCAGCAACAGAACATGCATGAAGACAAGTGCACAGGGTGTGAGCTCCAGAGGCAGGAAATAAACAGCACCATGGCAAACACAGCATTTGAGGGAGGGAGGAAGACGGACTTCAACACGACCAGCTTGGAAGACTGTGGAGTTGGACTTCAACATGACCAGCTTGGGAGAAATCTACAGAAAAGAATAATCTTGAATGTGATAGGGAGTAGGGGAAAAACAGAGGAAAAGAGAGAGGCTGGCTGTTATAAAGAGACATCTTCTACAATATTTCTACAGTAAGAGAATTACTAAAGCAAAGAATTCAGGATTCAATTCACCACGGTACCCTTAAGTACAGCCAGTGTCTCCTGAAATGCAGCCTTACAGAGAAGAAAGTACATTCCCAGAAATACCCATCTTATTCCCATCGTGATTTTCATCTCCACAATACAGGACTATGGCCACAGACACCGTGGCAGGAGGCTTGGGTCGCTGTCTCTGGATGAGCCAAGGTGACGGGGTGCGAGGGATTTGAACCCCTGGGCCAGTCTTCCTCTTCCCCTGTGCACACCACAGCTGTCCCGGGTGTTAAACCAGACATCAAAAGAGATTCTTCACTCACTTCAAATGCAGAAAGATTTATTTTGGTTTCCTTCATTGTTTTTGGAAATTCTGTTTTGGTTTATAAAACATAGAAATAGCCAACACTTAAAGCAAACATTCAAAACCCCAATGTGACAAATTATTGACTTTTTGTGCAATTAAGAATACATATATGAAGTTAGGCTACCAAATAGTGTTATTACAATGACAATTCATTAGTGCAAACCCTGTTGTGCTTGTGTAACACATGTTCTCTCACAAATCCAAAAACAACTGCTTTAAGTGTATAAATGAAAGCTCAATCCAGTCAAAAGTGGCAAAGACTCGCAATATGGTGAAATGCTGTTAATTTCCCAAATTAACTTAAAAAACAAAAACAAAAACAAAACCTTGAGAAGTTAATCCCAGGAAATGATTTTTCCTTATTTCTACACCCTAGAATTTTGGCTTGTCAAATACATTTCATAGAAATCAGGTAGCATTGTGATATTCAAGAACATTTGCTTATTACTGTCCATTTCAAGTACCCAAGTGTATCTAGTCCCTTAATATTTTCAAAGACATGCTTTGCCTGAGAGTTTTTTTGGGGGCAGAAAAGCACGCGAATCACAACATGATCTTTTGATATGAAAACCACATTAGAAATCCGTTGGCCATTACAAACAGAGTGCTTCAGTGAAGAGAAAGCGGACAGTTGTTTCGCCATCACAGCTGAGCGTGGTTGAGCCAAGTAAGTCTTTCTTCCTCGAAATGCTTGTCTTCACTGTAGAGTCTAAGGCAGATTTTTCAGTAGCCCCTGGGGCGGGGCGGGGCGGGGCGGGCCGGAGGGAGGGGGCGGGCCGGAGAGCAGAGCCTGAGTGCATTCAGTGGTGTGAGAGAGCCTAGAGCTGCTCTCCTGCACTGAAGAGCTGGGCGTGTCCTCAGGTCACTGGGAACCTCACGTTCCAGCAGGGGACTCTGGACCCCTTAGGAATCACAAGGGCCTTGGGAGTGCACAGGAGATGGGGATGGGAAGAGAAGGGGGCAGGGATTAAAAAAAAAAGAAAAGAAACCTCTGGTCCTCTTGTGACACGCGGCAGCCAGGATGGCCGTTCTGTGTGAAGGGGGACGGCTCCCCTCCAGGGCACTGCACTCTTCGGAGCAGCAGACAACTGCAGAATCTGCAGGCAGTAGCAGGTATCTCAGAAAGAGCAAAGTCCTAACCCCGCGGTTAGAAAAACAGGCAGACAGAGTGTGGACCTTTGTAACACGGAGCAAGTCTCAAATAACTTAGCACGCTGATAGCTTCCCCTTTGCAATGTTTAAGGCTCACTTTGGAAATTGTGTATCACCATGAACATGGCCTGCAGCACGAGGTGACTGTAAGGCAGTGTTCCACTTCCTCTAGCATTCCTATGACAAGAACCCGAATGGACAATCAAGCACAAATGTTTCCTTCCCCACGCTTGCTGTAGTCAAAGTTACCATCACGAAGGCCAGCAGCAGAAGAGACGGTGGAGGTGTGTCATTTCTTCTGAGCCTTCTTCCTCACCCTAAACCTTGATGGTGGAATAGAGTTCATCGATCTGTGACCTGAAATAGTTCCGGAGCTCTGGCCTTTTTGCCTTCATCGTTGGAGTCAGAAGGCCATTGTCGATGGAAAATAATTCATTGTGAAGAGCAATGCCTTTGATCTGCAAACAAACAAGGCTGTTAAAAAGGGAGAGGACAGGCCGTTGCCAGGGCTCACTTGGCTAATCCTCCTCCTGTGGCGCTGACACCCCGGGTTCTAGTCCTGGTTGCTCCTCTTCCAGTCCAGCTCTCTGCTGTGGCCTGAGAGTGCAGTGGAAGATGGCCCAAGTGCTTGGGCCCTGCACCCACATGGGAGACCAGGAGGAAGCACCTGGCTCCCGGCTTCAGATTGGTGCAGCGCACTGGCCATAGTGGCCATTTAGGGGGTGAACCAACAGAAAGAAAACCTTTCTCTGTCTCTCTCCCTCTAATTCTGCCTGCCCCCCCCCAAAAAAAAAAAAAAGGGAGAGGACAGACGCAACCCAGTCTGAAACACACTAGGCCCGTGGAGGAATAAACACCCTTGCAGACACCCAACCCCTCCCCTCACATTGGCCAGGCTGCACGTCTTTAACAAAGCACAGGGGTCCTGCTCCTAGGAGAGGAATCAGGACTGCATGCTGGCTAGCAGGAAACAAGAATTCGTAAGCTTGGTTAAAGAGTCCTCCCCTCTGGGGCAGGCATTTGGTGCAATGGTGAAGTCCCCACCTGGGCACCCACATCCCATACTGCAGTGCCTGGTTCAGATCCCGGCTCTTCTACTTTCTGTGTGGCTTCCTGCTAATGCATACTCTACTCTAGGAGGCAGTGCATGATGGCTGAAGCATTTGGGTCCCTGCAAGCCATGTGGGAGACCCAGACTGAGGCTACTGGCTTTGGCCTGGTGCAGCCCTGGTTGTTGTGGGGGTCTGGGGAGTGAACCAATGGAAGGGAGCTTTCTGTCTCTGCCTCTTTTAAAAAAATTAAAATAAAAAAATTTAAAAAACCCACACCATCATTCACGCCTCATTTATTTCTTTAGATCACCTCATCTTCTATAATATACTCGTTTTAAAAAATGTTTGAGTCAAACCTTTGTTGTACAAGAATTCGTGTGCTTGGGTGACAGTCGTACCTGTTCAAATGGCTTTAGACCAGCCTCCTTGCCAAGTCTCACCATGTCTTCCAGGATAGCTTTTTTGACGTCCTAAGAAAGTAAGAAAAAGCAGGTACTTCCTCTGCTGGGGCCCCGCACATTTGCAGGAACACAGAGCGTGAAGACAGGACGCCGAGGCAGACTGCATGCTCTGAGCCTCACCTTATTTCTGCAGAGTTCTTCCACCGAGCCTTCGAAGCCTTTCTTCCGGGCCCAGGGACACAACGTCTCCACAACCGGCACCACGATCGCTATGAGAAACGCCTGTAACCCACACAAGCCAGTCGTGTCAGGGCTGGATGCACATGCTCCCAATCAGCAGTTTGTTCTTTCTCTGCCTCACGGAGCCCTGGGAGGGTCTGCCCCCTCTCCGCAGGAGGAGCTCCTGGCTCTAAGGTGCAGCTGAGACCAGGAATTCTGCAATTAATGTTTTAAAAGAACCACTAGAAATCAAAACCCAATAGAACCCTAATGTTTATTTACTTCCAGTGTGTGTCTCTGTATGTGTTTACATGCATGTGTATAATATAAAACAGGGTCAGAGAGGGCCGGCGCCGCGGCTCACTAGGCTAATCCTCCGCCTTGTGGCGCCGGCACACCGGGTTCTAGTCCCAGTCGGGGCGCCGGATTCTGTCCCGGTTGCCCCTCTTCCAGGCCAGCTCTCTGCTGTGGCCAGGGAGTGCAGTGGAGGATGGCCCAAGTACTTGGGCCTTGCACCCCATGGGAGACCAGGAGAAGTACCTGGCTCCTGCCATCGGATCAGCGCGGTGCGCCGGCCGCAACGGCCATTGGAGGGTGAACCAACGGCAAAGGAAGACCTTTCTCTTTCTCTCTCTCTCTCTTTCTCTCACTATCCACTCTGTCAAAAAAAAAAAAAAAAAAAACAACAAAAAAAACAAAACAGGGTCAGAGGTAGATGTTTTCAATCTTTTCGGGGGCTATGTATTCTCCTTGTGCCAGCTTAAATATGTGCTTTTTCCTGTCGATAATCTTCAGGGTGCCATTCTGTTTATGAGAGGGAAGGGGGCTCTGAGTGGGTGTGTGGCTGCTGCCCCCGGGATCCACCACAACACAGTACAAGGTAACTGACAGGCACTGAAGTTGAATCCCAACAACATCTTGAAGGAAGCTCGTTATCATTTCATCTCACGGGGAGGGAAACCAGGGCTGGGAGAGATGAAGTAACTCATGCAGGGCCAACCAGAGAAGGGCCTCCAGAGCCCATGCTCACTCCCTGCTCAGCCCCAGTGGCGTGTCTGCTAACGAGCAGTGCTCTGCCTGCTTCCTTTACTCTGGCCCTGCCTCTGAATCAGGTCCACATGGGCCTGGTCACCAGCAGAGTGCCGTTCCTTCAGAGCTGGGAAAGACTTCTCCGTCCATGGTGCTCTGCGGCAGAGACTGCCAAGGTCAAGACGTGTTTCCTCTGTGGGCCGAATTTCAGCTTCCTCTCCCACTGTTGTGGAGGATACTCCTGGCCCTGTGGGTCAGCTGACTCCCCAAAGAACTTTGGGAATGCTCACAAGCATCCTAGGAGCACACTGGCCAATTGCCAGGTAGCAAAACCCCAACCCCACTCCCAAGCCAGCCCTACCCTGGGGCCATCAGTATGTCCCTCAAATGCATTATTTGGGACGTTCCCAGGGTTCTCTCATTCCATGCCAGTTCTCCATTTTCAAAAGGAGTGAACTGAGAGCCAGAGAAACAAGGAGATGCCTTCATCGGACCCAGAGCAGGAAACAAAGCTGGCACTTGGCTCCTTCTGAGCCTGAAGAGGGACTTTAATGCATTTCTGAATAGGCGAGGTATCAGGAAAGCTGAATTAATTTTGGGGGGCATTTTTCTAGTCAATAAAAATTCCAGAGGATTAAGCACCTTAAATCTACATGAATTTGATAATGTGCAATAAAAACTACAAAAGCCAATTTAATGTTTGTAATTCAACACATTAAAAATGGTTCTGCGGCTAAACTCACAGCAGTTGGCCTAATCCATGAAACATCCCCTTTTAAAATGAACTGACAAACCAAAGAAACACATTTATTCCCACGTATTTGTGCATCGCATACTCCTGGCAGGCTACAGTTCCCCCCGTATCTAGTTTCAGGCCCCAGTGTCAGGGCAGAGCAGGGACACTGTAAAAGGTCACTTTGATTCCCGTGGATGTGGCAACCAGAGTTCATGTTAACCATCAAATCTAAACACAGGGGTTCCAGGTGAGAGAAGACCCTAAACAAGTTTGCTAGGAGCATCACCCTGCCTCCTGCAGAAGTGGGACAACCTGCATGGCCCCTCCCACAAGGAGAAAAGGAAACACAACACAGAGGGTGCCCCTGGCATGCAGCAGGCTGGGCTGCACCCGGAGATTCTCTTTCCCACAGTGGAACCAAACTGTGAACACGGGAGGTGACAACTTACTGGCAACCATTTTCCAATGTCCCCCGTGTGTAACCAGCCATCTTTATCCAAAGCTTCTGCTGTTTTCACTGGGTCTTTCAAGTAGCCCTGAAATACGTTTGGCCCCTTCACACACACCTAAAACCAACCAACCAACCAAAGATGCCATTTTAACAATTACTGCAGTTCCTCCAAAGAAACCTGGTGTTGTGTGTGTGTGCTCCAAACTTTGGCGAGAAACCTTGAAGCCCAGGACCAGAGGGAGCTCTCGTCAGGGTCTTGCAGGCAGCTTCAATGCCCCAGTTCCCATTGTTAATAACCTCAGCTGCAGTCAAATTGCAGGGCTAACACCCACAGGGGATGAAATGGCTGTGACATCATGAGGCTTCCCCCCCAGTAACTGCTGGGTATCCAGGGCAATTAGCAGACAGGAGATGTGTCCTGAGGCCCTGGGCCCCTGAGTCTCTGCATCCCGCTCTGCTCCAATCCCAACCGCGTGTGGCAGAGGACGGTGGTCATCAGTGCTCCCATCCCCACCCCTGCAGAAGGCCACATAAATATGCCTTCACGGAGAGGCCTGACTCGCAGATGGCCAATACAGACAGGCTCCACCTCCCTACTAAGCCGTGCTGGGAAATGGTGCTGCCTGGAACGGCAGCTACTGCGGGAAATGACCCACGGGGCTCCACTCACCTCGCCCTCGCCCTTGGCAGCCAGGTAGTTCATTTCCTCCACATCGACCAGTTTGATAAAATTGCAAGGCATTGGGGCACCCACGTGGCCTGCATATTGAAGGAGAGAGTGATTATGCCTATGGGGACTGCTGGCACTCCCAGGGCAGCCACTTGACAGAGACAGGCTGGGCATTAAGGGCAGCTTGGGAAATGCCTGGTTTGTGCAACTGGGGCCATCCTCGCTCTGGTAAAACAGTTTAGCTGAGTTGACCCCTAGCATGGAGACAAAACATCCAAAAAGGCTCCTAGGAGATTTCCCAATGTTTGATGCACTGAGTCATTCTTCAGAGGGTAATTCAGCTGCTCGGTTTAAGGGCTACTCTGAATACTTGGAAACAAACCTTCTAGAACTTTCACCTGGCTCCCCTATCTGACTGCTTTGCCCATGACCTGTCCCCTGCTGTTCGCCATAACAAGGACACAATGGGTACAGCTTCATGGGACCCTGATTACTCACAAACACACCAGCTGGCTCTGATCAGATGGCCTTCGTTTCCTTAAGGACAGATTCACATTTAGTAAAAGAGGACAAGGCTTGTTTTCACAGCCACCTTAAGTCTCCTGCCAGTGGGTGTTCATTTGAGCTATCTTTCCAAAAACCAAAAACCAAAGTAATGGATATTATACACTCTTGAGAGTGTCACATGGGGCCGGCATTGTTTGCCACACTGGCATCCCACTAGGAGTACTGGTTTGAGTCCCTGTTGCTTGCTTCTGAGCCAGCTTCCTGCTAATGCGCCCAGGAAAGCAGCAGCAGATGGCCCAAGTACTTGTGCCCCTGCACCCATGTGGGAGACTCAGATGGAGTTCCAGGCTCCTGGCTTTGTCCTGGCTCAGCCCTGGCTGTTGAGGCCATTTGGGGAGTGAACCAGCAGACAGAAGATCTTGATCTCTTTCTCTTTCTCACTTTGCCATTTTTTTTTTTTTTTTTTTTTTTTTTTTTTTTTTTTTTTTACAGGCAGAGTGGATAGTGAGAGAGAAACAGAGAAAGGTCTTCCTTTGCCGTTGGTTCACCCTCCAATGGCAGCCACGGCCGGCGCACTGCGGCCGGCGCACCGCGCTGATCCGATGGCAGGAGCCAGGTGCTTCTCCTGGTCTCCCATAGGGTGCAGGGCCCAAGCACTTGGGCCGTCCTCCACTGCACTTCCTGGCCATGGCAGAGAGCTGGCCTGGAAGAGGGGCAACCAGGACAGAATCCGGCGCCCCGACTGGGACTAGAACCCAGTGTGCTGGCGCCTCTAGGTTTAGGATTAGCCTATTCAGCCGTGGCGCCGGCCTCACTTTGCCTTATAAATGAATAAATACATAAATAACTCTTAAAAAGTATCATAAATAGTTCTTATGTTTTAATAATTTTAGCTTACAGAGATCTCTATTCCAAATTCTCTGTAAGGAACCAGAGTTAAAAATTAAACACCATGAAGAAGGCTCATGGCCTGTGAGCCTCAACCCCAGTAGAATTATGGTATGAGATGTGCTAGACCCAGGGCTTGCGTTGTGCTGTAGTGGGTTAAGCCAGCACCTGCAATGCCAGCATCCCATATGGGCACCTGTTCATATCTTGGCTGCTCCATTTCTGATCCAGTTGCCTGCTAACAGCCTGGAAAAAGCAGTGGAAGATGACATTCTTGGGCCCCTGCCACCCACATGATAGACCCCGATGAAACTCCTGGCTCCTGGCTTTGGCCTGGCCTAGCACTGGCCATTGCAGCCATCTGGGGAGTGAGTCAGTAGGTGGAAAATCTCTTTCAAATAAATAAATAAATCCTTCTAAAAAAAACAAAAAAAAAAACAAAAAAAACGAGAATCTATGTTCCTAAATGGTGCGCATATTTATAACAAGTCAGGAATATGTACTTATCAACGTGGCACAGCAAAGCAGGGGAGTTTTGCAGTCAGATGCGGGTTGAAATCCTAGCTCTGAAGCAAAATGCTGTGTGAGCCCTTATGCACTACATCCTATTTAAGCAACACCCTGATGTCCTCTCAGAGCTAAGAGTACATATCCTACAGGGATCACAGGGATGTTGGTGGACGGCACTCCCATAACACACACCAAAGCACCCAACCCAGAACCTAGTCCAGGACAGGTGCGCAGTTACTTCTGTCTATCCGCCCCCTATAGCCCTTTGAGAAAAAGGTCTCGTGTTTACTCCTGTCCTGTGCCCAGTATAAACTTAATAACTAGCTGTGGATTAAAACTACCAGCAAACAATGAGGCTCTAACTCATTACTCGGCTCTGCTGGGCCGGACATTCTCAATCAGTTGCAAAGGGCACCCTTTCCTGGGGGTGGCTTTAGAGCTGGGCAAAACTTCATCAGCCACAGGGCACCTTTCCCCAGCTCCCCGACTTCCAGGACCGTCTGCCCCCGCGGCCTAATTATGTGGGACAGAGCACTTGTTCAACTCTTTCAATGAACCAGTCAATGATCGGTCTGTCAACTCCCAACCATTCCAATAACCTCATCAGCATAGTAAGACTGCAGCAAAGGCTCCTGCCGTCTCACCTGCTGTCCAGTCTCCAGGCACGCTCAGGCAGCACCCGGCGGTGCACTCGGTCTGTCCGTAGCCTTCATAGAACTGTGTCACCAAGAGAGGAAAGACGATTAGCAAGCAAGAGCCTTACCTTTGCTGAAAGTGCACAAGTGATTAAGTGCCACTAACTGCTGAGTGATGGCTGTCTGGGAAGTCTCTTCTCAAATTCTCTGCTTGGTGACTGTCTATCCAAGAGCACAACACGCCTTATGGCAGCAGCCTAACACCCTTGCTCCCACAACAACTGCCTGTCCACGTCCATCTTCTACTTCACTTCCTGTGCACAGCAAAGGAGAAGCCCCACGTGGCAGGTCACGGCCTGCCCTGGAGTGCACGTGCCTTGTCAGGTCACAGGCGTGCCTTACACATCCTGTCTGCACCACGTCTTGCCTACTCCTTTAAAGTAAGTTTCTGGCCTGGTGTGCAAGTACATGTATCATTCAGGACCACTCCCCTACCCCATGCCTGTCTCTAAAGGCTTATCTTATGCCTTACCCTGGAAAAAATAACACAGATGGTGGACACAACACATATTCCCTGCCTAGGATAAGTAAGGTTTATACGTTTATGTCCCTAAACCCTCTAGTATTAACATATCCTCCAAACAAGAAAAAGATAGGTACACAAGGCAGGGAGTAGGGAGAACTGGAGAGATTCATTCATTAAAACTCATTCTCACTTTCAGAAGCACTCTTCTGCAGAAGAGGAAAGCAAAACTAAAGTTCAGCGTAGGGTTCTGATAGGATGATTTAAGCTTTCTATTTCATGGTTAGAGAAGCGGCCGAGCACATCTTGACAACAGGCTGTCTAACCATCTTAGCATCTCCTCTGCCATCTGGTATATTCATGTAACAGTGACTCCATACTCCTTTCACCTCTGCCATTCTTTTCTAATGCACGGGCTTTGATCATAATTTGCTAAGTAATCCTAAAACATCTACATTTTCTAGATAGGGCCAAATTACTGAAGAAGCATAAGGCTCTAGTGAAAACACAAGTGTATGAGCAGGCGCTCAACTCGTGCCCCGCCTTGGATATGGTGAATGGCAATAAGGAAGACCGTGATCCATAAAGTCAGTCCCTCATGGAGTTTGCTCACAATCCCCTAGGGAAGAGAAAACAAGCCGCTGATGGGGGTATGACACATCCCTGTTAGGAAATGCCAGGTGTGAAAGGAAGGTATAATAGGAAGTCTTCCTTTGAGCCGTTTAATGAGAACAGAACTTAAGTAGGATTCCTACCCATAAGCAAATTGGATGTGTCAGAGCGGGAATGCAGGATTCTGATGACTAGGTAGGAAGGTCAGTGAAAGTGAAAGGTACTAGGTAAGAGGTAGGACCCAGGAAGGTACTGAGGACTCAACCTGCCCTTTCTAGATTTTCACTTTCCAAGGACCTTCAGCCCGTGCTGTAGACCATGGACCGGAGAGGGGCGAGAGAGGCCGGAGTGAGAGCCTAGGGTGGCTGCAAGCAGAGCAGACCCCGGACCGATCCGGAGCGCATGGGAGGCTGGAGAAGCTTAGTGGCTAACGGGGAAGCAGCGGGGTGGGCGAGAGCGCTGGCTGCGGGCGCTGCTGCTGGCTTCCTGGGTGGGAGCCATGTGCCGAGAGCAGACCCACCGACAACTGTGGTCTGAGCATGGCCGAGGGGTTTCAGAACAGGGCCACATGGCTAAAGGCATGAGTCGGAAGGATTCAGGAAAAGCCTTCAGCTGTGAAAGGCACTGGCGTTTAGGGCTTGAAACGAGCTTTCTGTAAGAACTAAACCACAGTCAATCCGAGAAAAGCTAGGCCCCCGGACCCAGAAGGGAGCAGAGGCCAAGCCCTCGCCCCAGTACCAGGAGGCACAGCCCTGAGGGAAGCGCCTCACAGTCTGCACCGCTCGCCTCCAGCCCTCGGGGCACCCTTGACCCGCACCTCCTCCATTCGCGATCCACCCCTCGGCCTGCAGTCCCCGCTTCCCACCCTTCCCGGCCGGGCCTCCTGCTCTAGGGTCCCAGTGCCCCAGCCTGGCCGCCCGGCTTCCAGCACTCTCCTCCTGGCGCGGGACCGGTTCTGGCTCCCGGATCCGGCCGCCTGCCCCATCCTCCCTCCTGGCCCTCCCTCACCCGCCCCTGGGCCGGCGGGGGTCTCCGCCCGCTGGGCTCCCGCTGCCCGGCCTCCCCTCTCTGGGTCTTGGCTCCCTGCCCAGCGCTCCCCTGCAACCGCCGCCGCAGCAAAACAAAGGACCCGCCTGCCAGACCGTGCCCATCCTTCCCGGCTCCCCGCAGCAGCTGCAGACCGGGCCGCGTCCCGGAGGCGGGCGCAGGGTGTGGGAGGGCGGAGGGAGTGGGCCCAGGACAGGTGGCGCCTTGGGGAGAGCGGGCGAGGGCTGCACTCACCACAGTCTCCACACAACCAGCAGCACCTGCCTCGCTCCACGTCTACACAGCTTCCGCCGTCTGCCGAAGCTGGAGGTGAGCTCGGCAGCTGGCCCCGCCCCCTCTGCCCCGCCCCGCCCCGCCCCTCAGCTCGTGCGCCTCCTCCTCTCGCAGGCACGCCCCGCCCCGCGCCGCTCCGAACGCAGCCCGGGGCCAGGCTCGGCGCGCCCCGCCTCCCCGCCGCGGCCGCCCCGCCCCGCGCCTTGGCCCCGCCTCCGCGCCTTGGCCCCGCCTCCGCGCCGCAGCCGCCCCGCCCCGCGCCGCGGCCCCGCCTCCGCGCCGCGGCCGCCCCGCCTCCCCGCCCCGCGCCTTGGCCCCGCCTCCGCGCCGCGTTTGAAGTCCGGCTCCCGCGCTCAGCTGCGGACCCCGGGCTTCCTCCCGCGTTTGGGAGCGTCGGAGAGAAGCCGCCGGAGACTCGCAGGCCGCGCCCGGCCCAGAAACGGACAGAGAAAGCCGACAAGGCCGGGGGTGCCTCCCGCTCCGAGCTCCGGAACGCGCGCTGGTAATCTCTGCTTCCCTCAGATGCCCCGAGACCCGGCCTTGGATTCCTGGGCCCCTAAATCGGACGCCTTGCCTGCCCTCCTGGGGCGCGGCCTCCTTTGGGTCCGGGGCTCGGAGGTTCAGACTTGGCATGCAAACTGTGACGCGTTTTCACGGGAGGATATACCAACACACCTGAGCGCAAATTCTGCGGCGGATTCCGACAGCTCTGTGATATGCCAAGCACAGATCAGCCATTTGTCAGGGCTACAGTCAGGGCCTGTCTTTGAGGCGCAGAAATATGTGCCTCCCATTCCATTTTCTCATTGTATCGCTGCGACAGGCCCTTGAAGAGTTCCAGTCCCCACCAGGGCTTAAAAAGGTGGAGCCGTTTCCTTAGGCCAAGGGGAGAGTCGCGGGAGTTAAACTCCGGCCTAAATTGGGCTTTTGACTCCCTGCTGGGGTCAGGGCGAGGAGTGCCTGCCGCGGAGCTGAGCGCTGTGGCGGGCGGGGATTCCACTGGGGGGCAGGTGCAGGGGCAGGTGTGGTTGAATGAGCCCCCGCCCCCCACCCGTAACAGAATGATGCTTCCGGTAAGTGGGCGCCAGCTGTCTGCTGTCTTCCTGGGAGTTGTTTTAGTTTACTTAGCCTGCAGAAAGTTACAGTGAGACGGGCTGGCGGAATGACTGCTGGCTGACGGCAGCCGCTCCTCTTCACAGGCGTGGCAGAACGTGAGCCCGACCTTGAAGGGGAGGAGAAAGGCCGCGCGGGGCGTTCCGGGTGCAGGAGGGCTTCTGGACCGGCCCAGGAGCAGCGAGTGGGCACTGTCGCTGATTCGGTGGAAACGGGAGAGAAGTACAAGCTGCTTTAGGACCTGGTCCTGGAGGGGTTTAGTCTTCACGGGGTGTACTCCAAGGACTTGAGTGATGCCATGGAGTAGGAGTGGGTATCCCTGTGAGAGGTTAGGGCAGGCTGTAAGGATGATTAGTTGGGCATTTGTGCTGTTTAGTTGAAAGCTCCTGTGCAGAGTATAGGGAAGAGTAACCGGATAAGAACAATACATCCCTGTGTGCTTTCTTAACCCTTACGAGACGTTTTTGAGGAGTTTAGATATGTTACATCTATGTAGGCATAAAGGCTAAGAAAGAAAAAATTCTGTCATTCTAATTTTTTTTTAAAGATTTTATTTATTTGAGAAGTAGAGTTACAGAGAGGCGGAGACAGAGAGGTCGTCTTTCCACTCGTTCACTCCCCAGATGGCCGCAATGGCCAGAGCTGCACCGATTCGAAGCCAGGAGCTTCCTCCGGGTCTCTCACGCAGATGCAGGGGCCCAAGGACTTGGGCCATCTTGTACTGCTTTCCCAGGCCTTAGCAGAGAGCTGGATTGGAAGAGGAACAGCTGGGACTAGAACCAGTGCCCAAATGGGATACCAGCACTGCAGATGGAGGATTAACCCACTGCGCCACAGCACCAGCCCCTCTAATTTATCCAGAAGTAAACATACAATTAAAATTACTGTAAGTTCATTATGGAATTAATTTTTAACAGTATTTATATGAAAGGCAGAGTAACAGAGTGAGATCATAATCCACGGGTTCACCCCCCAAATAGCTATAACAGGCAGGCCCGTGCCAGGCAGGTGACAGGAAGTCCATCTGAGTATCCCACCTGGGTAGTTGGAGCTCAAGAACTTGCGTCATTATCTGCTTCTACCCAGGTGTACTGGCAGGCAGCTGGATAGTGGAGTACCTGGGTCTTGATCCTGCACGTCAGTATGGGATATGGGTGACATCCACTGTGCCACAACACTCGCCCCACAGAAAATTTAATATTTTAAAAGATCGTATTTAAAATTCAGAGTTAGAGGGGGAGGGGGAGTAGGAGGGAAAGAGGGGAAGAGATACCTTTCATTTCGCTGGTAACTCCAAGTGGCTGCAGCAGTCGGGCTGGACCAGGCTGAAGCTGGGAGCCTGGAACTCCATCTGGGTATCTCATATGAGTGGCAGGGGCCCAAGCACCTGGGGCATCTTCCTCTGCTTTCCCTGGCACATTAGCAGGGAGCTGGATCAGAAGTGGAGCAGCCACGACTCAAATCAGCACTCATGTGGGATGCCAGTGTTACAGGTAGCACCCCAACGCCATCCTGGAAAATTTCAATGACATATTCCTTATGAATATGATAGCAGTAGAAGCAACACTATAAGTCATACTTAAATCAATAAAACTTTCAAATATCAGAATGTTAATAAATAATAGAACTGTAATAATACCAGAACACACAAAATACTGTTGAATCTGATCTTAAATAGAGGGAGAAGTTGGAGTTGGGGGATAGAGAAGAACTTAGGAGTAAACAAACGAGAACAAGGAACTGGAAGAACTGGGCTGGGGGAACCGTGGCCAGGTGGGTTTCAGTCTTCCTGGAAGCCAGTGATAGAAAGCACACACCCCTAGTCCAGCTGCTTCTGAGAACCAGACCGTAGAAGGTCCCAGCTGGGCAAGTCTGGGCATTAACCTCGGGCAACCAGGGCTCCACTTCATCACCTGTGCCCCTTTCCGCACTAGTACTCTAAGAACACTGAGCAGCTGTTTTTCTTAGACCACCTTTAGTTGTAAAATCTGTAACCAACATGGTTAAATAATGTTAAGAAATAATAGAGCTCTTTAAGCCTACTTTTAAAAAATATATTTCCCTTTGGATGTTGCAAACTTAACAAAAATAGTTATGGTCCCTGGTGAATAGGAACTAGGATGTATAATCATACAAAGGAAAGACAGCACTCTTTCTCCACCAGGAATTAAAAGCATTGCTAACATGGTGAGAGGCTCCCGGAGGGTGGGGATGAGGAATATGATAGTGCCAAATCAGAATGCCAGATGCCTTCCTGTTCTCCATTTCCTTTGCTTCTGTCATTCAAACCTCCTATGTGAATAGCTCAAGTCCCAGTTGTCTTCTGATCCTCACCCCAGCTGTTAAAATTTTTGCTGCACAAAGGACACAGAGGGTACGATGTGTACTGAACTCATTTTCTTTATATCTATGTTGATGCTTATGGTTTCCCCAGTCCAGTGAGTCAAACTGGTTTTCCATTGTGACTTCAGGACTTCAACATTTGACACATTTGCGTGGTCATACAAAGATTTCTACAAAATCAACAATTTTTCCTGGTAATGGGCTGGTGTTGTGACATAGTGGGTTAAAGCCAGTGCCTGTGATGCTGCCATCCTATATGAGTGCCTGTTTGAGTCCCAGCTGGCCCACTTCAATCCAGCTCCCTGCCTATGTGCCTGGGGAAAGCAGTGGAAGGCGGCTCAAATGTTAGGAGCCTCTGTTACCAACGTGGGAGACCTGGCTGAAGCTCCTGGCTTCTGTTAGGCCCAGCCCCAGCCATTGTGGCCGTTTGGGGAGTGGAGCAGTGAATGGAAGGTCTCTGCCTCTCCCCCTCTCTCTGTAACTCTAGCTTTCAAATAAATAAATACATCTTATTTTTTTTTTCTTAGTAAGATTTCAGTGTCTTGGTGTGAACATCTACTTGGTTGCTCATAGTTGTTGGTTAGATCCTATTATGATTGAGGTATGATCACATCCAGTCCTTATTTTCTTCACTGAGTAATCAGATTTGTATGAAAACTAGTAAATTTCAAAGAAAGTCAACTTCTCAATTAGCTTTATCTAAATACAGTGGTATTTTATCCATATGTGAATTGGAGTAACTGAACATTCAGATTCTATTTTATGAAAAGGAACCATTGACAAGTTAAAGCAGTTTCTTGATAACAAATTGCCCATCTCCTCAATCCAGTGAAATGATACTCCTTTCTGAGGCATACCTGTTAGGAACTTTAAATCAGTGCCTTTAGAATTTGTTTCTTGGCTTATAATTTTCATATGGATTAGGTATAACTAAGAATAATCTTGGGTCTGTTATGGTAGATGTCAGATTTGAAATCTGAATCTTAAGCCTTTTATTCTAAGGTCTGATACTGCTCTCCTTTCTGAACCTTTCAAGGGGATTCTATTTTTCCTTTTAGGAACCATATCATTTGCCAGTGAACTTCTGTTGCTGCAAAATTTTCTGCTAAAATTCAAGGTAATGTTTATCAACTTGCTAAACAGAAAGGCATTGCCAAAGGTAAATAGAAATTCACTCTTAAATGCTTTATTATGTATTTCCCTTTAAAACACCTGATGTTTTTCACACAAGTAAATTATGATAGATGATGTTAATGAAGAGAAACTCTCAAATACTATTTCTTTATAAAGATCATTCCCAAACTTAATGGTTTAAAAAAAGCTACATTTTTGTTACAGTTCTGTGGGTTGGCTAGGCAATTCTGTGGGTCTCTCCTGGAGTTGACTCATG